GGAACAGAATGGTGATGTAGAGCAGACACTAAGCGGTTCACTTGTCGAATGCTTTGAGTGGACAGCTCAGCGCTGATTGTTCGGTCGGTATCGTCCTGATTGCACATGACACGGGAATTTCTGTCATTTCTTGAGGGTGCCCCTCACAACTTCGTCGTGGTGTTGAAGGGAAACCGGAAGGAAAACCGCAATTGCCCTTCATGGGACTCGATTTAACCTCCCGCCAGCCGCCAACTCTGCGCCTCGCTCCGCCTGCGGGGCTCTGCCGAGCGAGTGGATACCTGGGAGGAAGCGCAAGAAGATGCCTCGAGGCGAGCGGCAAAGGGATTGGCAACCAACTGGCAAGGACAACACGAGGCAAAGAGGTCTTGTAAGCCCCTGTGCATTTTGCGGTCGGTTCAGAGCTCCTTTCAAAGGTTGCAGTGAATCGAAGCAGTCTGGTTCCAAGTGGGAATTTGTGCACAAAAACACATGCCAGAACCTTTTGACGCACATGTCAGAATGAAAACCTGTAGGGCAAACCCGAGCAATCATAAATTTTATTCTGTCAGGTTCAGACATTGGTTCTTTGGATTCCCCCAAAGAGTGGGGGAACGATATGCCGAGTGAGGCAACATGATGTAAGATGCGCATCCCCGCGGAAGTGCCAAATGCAACCATACCTCTCAGGAAGACCCCATTCCAAACTGCAAGCTTCACATAATAATGTTCAAGCTACATCAAGCAAACACTTGACAAATTCAGTGGGCTGCTGATCCTGCCGCGGCTCACCCACGCCGACCATGAACCAACAAACCCTTTCCAGACCTTTCAGAACCTCTCTATGCCACGACCCATGCCCAACATCCCCGAACTTCCTACGCAGGACAAGCAAGCCCGACCTAGCAACGTGCATTGCTGAAACTTTGTCAGCTAAGTATCCAACCATTCTTACTTTTCCTAGTGACTTTATATCCAAGTTGGCTGTTTAATGAACTCATTTTCATTGAACACGTTTGTAAGTCGCTCTCTCCCTCTCTCTGGAGCACCATCCCCGTCGGACAGCCTCTTCATCAACTAATCGCGTTTCTCAAGTGTTGGTCATTTCATCATTCATGTGATTAATTGATCTAACCAACCTATTGATTAACCCGCTGGGAGATTTTCCATTTTGAGACACCCATCCCTTGCGACCGTGCCACGAAGGACGACGCACGGGAGTACCCACTCCGCGCGCTGTAGCCGCTGCGCCCGCTGCGCGCGCTGCCGGAGCTGTCGTCATCAATGAGACGACTGCTGCTCCTGCACTTTGCAAGTCGGGTTGCGCAGCAAAAGAAGCTGGGATGGACGCACTTGGGATGTGCCATTGCTAACGTTTTTCTGTTCTTTCCATTTCTTCTTTGATGACTATGACTGAGGGGCCATAGGGAAATAACAATTAGAAAACAATAATAAAAAAGTCGCAGGTGGCACCACCATTCAACCCAAGAAGCTCCGCTGCTTTCCCGGCTAAGCTTGCGCAGGCGCGGTTTGTTTGGGGAATGACACTTGTGTGATAGGCGGCGTTTGTTAGTTGTAGTTCTCAATTCTGGGCCCGACACACACAGTAGATTCAAGATGAAGCTCACAAACGTTAGGAAGCTGCAATCGCATGCAGTTTGCCATGAAAACAACGAACCATGCGTTTCAGTGGAACATAGTGGAAACCAATGCTTACACAAGCATTGGTCATGACTGAGTCATGGCTGAAAAGGCATGTGCCAAAATCTTCGCGAAATTGTCATTCTAGTTCAAGGCGCTGTAGTGCTACATTCTGAGTGAAAAGTGGAGATACCACTAATTACGTACATTTTATACAATGCTTGGACAACTGTGCTAGCCAGCTTGAGGTGCCCTGAAGAAAGGCCTGAACACGTTGTTGTTTGCATCAGCCGCTATTGAAGCACTTTGGCAACGGCATGAACAAGCTTCATTCCCTATACGCTGGCCGCGGCCATCTTGCAAAATGTGCGTGCTCGTGGTTTCTTTGACACGCACAACCTGCAGCCCAGCTGAACCCGAGGGAGGTCATTGACAACGCCAGAAGCTGGTTTTGTTTGTTCTTGCTGGCCATCCCTTTGCTCAACCATGACACCGACAGGTGCAGAACTGCGCAGCAGGGAGGTGGCAAAAATGAGGCAACAACAGGGATTCTGGAGAAAAAGGGGACCCTTCTTGCGGCCTGGCACTTTTCGCGGGCACCCCATAGCACGAAACAGACAACGGGTGGAATCATACTGTGGATGGACAAAATCCTGCACCACGTTGAAACCATGAGAAAGAACTTGTTCGTCGGTATTTACAGGGGAATCATCATTCCAGGATTCTTAGGTGGTGCAGGAGTTCGTCCACCCACAATAGTTGGAAACAACCCTTTCTGCGACCCCAAAGTGGACCGTCCATATGACTACTTTGTCACGTCAGGGGAGTTGCTTGGTATCACAGGACACGTACCTAAAACCCTTTTCCCCGAGTGTGGGTGGACTCCACCCAACCACCGAGCAAAAGGGCCCCCCTGAAGCATTCATCTGTGCCAGTTTCAAAGTCACCCAAGCAGCACTTGAAATTCAAAGGATCGCCTTGTAACGCAAATTAGAATCAAAAAGGTAACAGCTGGGAAAACCAACAGTGGCAATCTGGAAATCACGAGTCTGCCGCGGTTTCCTTGGACGTTTCCCGGTGTCTTTCCATCCTGCTCCAACTGCAAGGTGCTTCGCCATGATTCCAAATCAACTAGAAAGGGAAAACCAAAAAGGCCAAAAGGTCGGCTTTGGGTCAAAAATCGGTATTCAAAATGGAACCCTGGTAAATGGAAACATGGACGAAAACCTGCGGTCCCCTGGTGGTTTAATTTTGACCCAATACCCAGGTCGGCTTTGGGCAAGTGAGATCCGTTCAGAGTGGGCCGGCCTCCTCCTCAGGCGATCAGCGGTGTGCTCCAGCTGCTCCGGTCGCGGCTCGCCCTTCGCTTGGCCCAAATCCTCCCGGCCGCGGTCCATGCGCTGCTTGCGCCACTCCCCCCCTGGGACGTGTGAGAACGCGGCCCAGTGCAACCTACAAGTGGATAAACCTAGAAAAAGGAATAGACGCATCAATCATTGGCAAAGTGGCGGGATCTGGCGAGGGAGAATTGAAGCCAAACAAGCGAAGGGGTAATACCGGTACTTCAAACTAGCACTGTTGCAGCTCAGAAACTCTCGCGGTCTCTCTCCTTCTCTTCTCGCCGCCTCTGACGTCGCTCCTGTCAGCGGTGCTAGTTGTACACACATGGATACGGCAGGCAGTGCCTGGCGAATTAACCGGGATTGGCCAACTGTTTGGGGGAGTCCTTGGATCTATTGCACCAAGCCCCGTGAATTTGAATCACCCTGGCATCGAGGACCTCGAGCTTCGAGTGGACAAGCAGGCCAATGGCAAAAGAACGAACCTGCAAAGCTTAGTCATCTACCTTCCTGCATGCAGAGTAACAGCATGCCACCGCGAAACCCAAGGCATAGACTCACGGGAGGCACGTCGCTAAATAGGACCCAAAACACCATGCCGTCATGACTGCTCTTGGCAGCCTTTGTACATTCGGCTTTTCCAGTCATCGCAGGGTCTGTGTTTCTGGCAGCAGGTGGGAGCCAACCTACTCTAATTGGGACCATCTGAGTTCAGACCAAAATGCAGGAAAAGAAGAATCGCCAATGGCTCCTCCTTCTCCTTCCGCCTCTCATCTTCCATGCGATCCTTGCTGGCGGGCTGCGGTGCACCGCAGCAGAGGCGCCCTGAGCGTGGGCTAGCGTGCCGTGCTCTCCATTGCAGGTCAGATGTGCTGTCCGCGTGCCCTAAGCAACAAGCAAGTTCTGAGGCCTGGAGATTGATGTTGGAATCTCTCTGGCGATGCTGAAACCCCATGTCGGATTGGCATCCCAGAAATTGCAAAAACCAAGATTTGCACAAACAAACGCCGCAGTGCTGGCCAATTCAGGCCATGAGCAGGCCTTGCCTCCCAAAAGCCATCGGCTCCAGGACCACTCTTCTGGCTGCTCCTTCTGACTCCGCCGGTCGCCTTTTTCGCCCTTTTCGCCCTTCTCGCCTTTCTCGCTCTTCTCGCGATGCCGCTTCCAGCGTTTCCTGAGGACATCTGCGGAACACAAGCTAATGGGTGTCGTTTTTTGGTGTACCCTTTGGTTGAGGGAATTAAAGGGAAAACAAGATGCAAATAACAAATTTGGCGGGCTGCCTAAAAACGATTAATCAAACTGTCTTGCATAGATTTCAACATGTCGCTCTTGCACTGCTCCCTTTGTGACGTATTCAAAATTGGCACGCAGGCTCCCCCGCGGGCGCTCTGACTTGACAAAAAGGGGATTGCTGCGCACGCTCAGCATCCTGCCTCTTCTCCCTCTCATTCCTGTCCTGGTGCAGCATGGAGTTGGACAGGAGTTGAAGCAACCAGTCTTGCAGGCGGTGCGCCCGTGCGCCCATCCCAAAGCGATTGCGCCCATCTCAAGTGGCACGTGAGCGGCTGAGCCCGTCCTGCGTGATTCGCCACTTCCGCTCCTCTCGGCCGGCCATCCCATGGGCACTAGAGAAAGGCGCAAACTAAGCCTGAAGGGGACTGGCGGCGCTGGACCTTTTCCATGTCCGAAAGCTGTTGGACTGCGTTGCTTTGCGGCATTTTGCGGTGCTACAAAGATGTGCTTGAGAATGGCGCTATGCTGGCTCAAATCGGACACTCCCTAGTTACAGTAGGGGCCCTGCACAGGCTCGGACACTAAGTGCATGGGAAGTTGACAATGCAAACGTGGGCGCTTGAGCCGCACAAAAACACCTGCCAAGCCTGAAGGTCTGGCACGGGCGCTTACTCTTCTCGACTGGCCGAGCGACCTGAAGCAAATCGATTTCCGGAATTGCGTCAAACTTGAGAAGACGCAAAGCAGGCTGGCCGAGTTTAAAGGTGAGGAGTCGCCATAGGCGCTACATGCCTGCCCAGGCTCGGATGCCCGCATCGACGAGGCGACGGATAAGCTCCAGCTTGGTTGGAGTGTCCACCTTGACCTTGGCCCAGGAGTTGCAGTTCAGCTTCTAAACAAAGGCCCGGTTCGACGCAAACACCTGCCTAACATTTTGAGCACCTTGTCAGCCCCTCTCCCACTCGGACATCAACTTCCCCTGCGTCTTCCAAGTCTCCCGTCAATCAAACATGGCCCCCGTTTCGGCCCATCCGCGAACGCCTCGCGCCTTTCTTCCCTCTCGCCTCGGCTCCTCTCGACTCGACCCGGCGCTCACGGCAGAGGAAGAGGGCGACGCTGAGCCGCGGCCGCGCCGCCGAAGGCCCGGAAGGCCCGGCCGGAGGCTGCACCCCGTGGGGCTGCGGCGCATGGAACTTGGCGCTGGGGAAGGCCTCCTAGCTAAACGAAGAAACCAGTAACCATCAACCAACAAAGCAATATAGCTCAAAGGAAACACCAACGCATACCCAACCCCAGTACAGGAATACTACACTAATAAGCCCAAGTGGTATCCCAAACCTCCCGGACCCCGTCGCTTTCAGCTGTTGGGGGAAAAACTGTTCTAAACTGAACTGGGCGAGCTGAGAGGTTCACTAACCCAATTTAAAAGCGTGTGTATGCGCTTCTCATCTATAGTTATTGTGCACCATGAAGTAGACGGCCATGGTGTTTTAGAGCTTCTGTTGCTGTTCCAGAGACTTTGGTGACGTCTCGGACCTGTTGCAGAAAGTCTGTGTCACATTTGCCAGCAGCGAATGCAAGCACGCAGCGAGGCAGTGATACATGTATACCACCCGCCCACGTTTTGGGGAGTCCACCCATGTGTAGCCAAACGATGAGTCCACGCTTTGGGGAATCGCGCAGCCAAAGAAAAAGCATCCACGCTTTGGCGGGCTCCAAGCAACAATGGACAAGTATCCACGCTTCGGGCGTTTTGGGGAATCACGCAGCTCGGCCGAGCTCTTCAGCAAGCCGCAGGAGCTTGTTTACGACGAAATCTTGCCACCCCCTAATAGCAGCACTCATGCTACTGTCTTTTGTTTGGAAGATGCACGTGCTCCGAACTAGTTTCCTTTCGTCCTGTTTGTTGCGGGACGCAGTGAGGTTGAGGCTGAGGGCTTCTGGTGACAAAGGAAACTTGCAAATCCACCACGGCCAAATACGCGCCGCGGACCTTGTAGTTTTGCTTCGAAATGTAGTTTTGCTTCGAAGGCACGATGGATGGGTCCAGGTACGCAAATCCCGTCCGCACGGCCCCAGCCCAGAGAAATCAAACTGACGAGCCCTCGCTCCTGGAAGCGGGTGCCCACCAACAGTACCGCCCGCCCATGCCGCAGCTGGCCTTGCGCAGGTAGGAAGAGGCGGCCGCTGCCGCAGCAAAGCAGCAGGGTCAAGGCTGACAGGTCCTCGAGGATTCTTGCGCCTTGTTTGGGCAGTCCAGCTTTGATTGTTCGATTGGTTCTTGCTGATTCGATTGATGAACAAGGCCAGTGCACAAATGCAAGGTTCGACTCACGGCTTGTCAAGCATTTTCATGGGCCGCTGCTCTCCTCTTCCCACCTTTCTGGGTGAGACGTTGGCTGCGCCCAGCTTTCGACCCCATGAGCCAGGTCCTTGTGCACATAGAGCCGGGGATGCCGGGTGTAGAAGTTGAGAAGCATCTCATGGGACCAGCTGCCCTGCAGCTTCCAATTGGCGGCTCGAACCTGGGACCGAAAAGGCTCTGAATTCAGGTTCTTACTTGCTCGGTCTGAAGGCCCCACCTGCCCAACACCGCAGAAGACATGCTTTCCGCCACTTAGGATTTCCAAACTATTCATTAGGCCCTAAACATGGCAAGTTGGAGAACCATTGTAATTGGTTGCTCACGTCTAACCGTGCATGTTAGGCATGTTCCAGCAAAGCTTGTAACAAGGCAGCAGGCTTATAGGATGTGGCTTTGACGAACATGTGGCAATGTCTTGCCGTGCTTCTTTGTTTCTCTGCCATGGTGGTGCTGGTAGGTAGAGGTAGGGGTAGGAGAAGGAAGTATAGGAGCATAGGAGGAGGAGCAAACATCAGAATAGCAGCAGGAGCAGGTGTAGGAGTAAGAGTAGGCAGCGGTGCCAGCAGCAGCAGTACAAAGTAGAGCGAAAGGACAACTAGAAGTGGCATATGTGGCGGTAGTCGTGGTGGCGATGGTAGTGGTACTCCACTCCACCCTACTCACTTCAGGCTTCAACACTTCCCTTACCTCGCTCGCTGGCTCCGTCTTGCTGAAGTGCTTCAGGAAGCAGCTTGAACATCCAGTGCCGTCTGGCAACTCTTGCCCACACCAACTTCAGGAGCTGCCGGGCCAATCGCGCCAGTGAAGATACCAAAGCACCGTGGCAGCTGGGCGCGCATCACCAGAGTGCCCCTCCCGTTTTTTTTGTTGTGTGTGTGTGTGTTTTTTTTTTTTTTTTTTTTGGGGGGGGGGGGGTACATCAGTAGGAGCGGCCACCCTCGGCATCAGTTGAAACCAAAAAGGGAGGCATCGCAGTGCCTCAAATCGTTGTGTCAGGGCTCCTCCCAAATGGTCAGTTGCTTTGGGCGCACCTTCAATGGCAAGCAAAATTAAACAGCATGGTGTGCAAGCAGCGCATGCTCCTGTAATGCCTGTGTACCAACGGATAAGCTAAGCTATGCTTACTTCAACTGACCACTGACCATTACCCCAAGTCTTCACGAATTCCCCAGTGCACCCAGCGCGAAACACGTGGCCTTCTTGCCCCTTCGGATTTCCCGGACAACGACGGGGCCTCGCTGTGTTCACCAAGGTTCGCCCCCCCCCCAAAAAATGGAGAAAGTAGGGGGCCTGGGGGGTGGTCTGTTGATGGTTGCCTGTTATGGTTTTTATGTTCATCTCAAATCTGTGTTCCCCCTTATTCGTTTTGAAAAGAGGGTTTTTAGGGAGCTTATTTATCGTTTTCGTTAAGGTAATCATTTGGGTAAATTGTCGCCTTGTTCATTGTTGGGCTAGGGGCAAACATTTTTTTCATTTGAAGGAGGTAGCCCTTTTAGTAGTTATCAAGTTCTGGGGCGTTGGTGGTGTATTTGTTTTCTCTCTCTCCCTCGTCCTTCCGCCACGTTGCATCGTCATCATCATCAACATCTTCGGTCTTGCCGGGATGCCCAGATTTTGTGAGCGGAAACAATCTCACCGTGCAAGAGACTTGTTTGCTGAGATGACTATGAGTTTTCTTGCCGTCAGCCTTTTGTAGTGTATCTGAGTAAGCCCCTGACTTAACTCATTGACAACTGTCATCATGTCGCCGAAGAAGACGACTGACGGTGGCTATGTTCAGAAAGAGCAGGAGGAACAGCCAGAAGTTCCCGAAGAGGAAGCAGAACAGTCAGAAGAAGAGGAAGCAGAGCAAGCTAACGAAGAGGTGGATGCACTGGCTCAGTTGATGATGGCTCAAGACCTTCTCGGTACGGTGAGCCTCTCCAGTGACGCTAATCTGACAGAGATTCACAACGCTTTACTGGACAAAATCAATGAGATGGAGGACATCAAGAAGGCTGTGGAAGTTGAACAGGGCATCCGTCAGAAGGCTCAGAAAGAGGCCACTCGCAAGGTAGAAGTGGCAAAGGCGAAGGCTATCAAAGACAAGGAGAACAAGGACAAGCGCAGTGGTCGAGAGTGGTTCAAGATTGTGACGCCGTCAGGCAGGGTGCTCACGCTCTTTCTGGACAAGTCCAAGACGCTGGGACGACTCCGTAAGAAGGCAGTCAGGGCGTGCAAGGAGTTTGACATGGGCAGTGGCAAGAAAAAGAAGAAGTGGAATAGCATCTGTCTGGTGCTCCCAAGCGGGAAGAACCTGACGGCAAAGAGCGGTCGCCCCTTCCTCTACAACCAGAATGAGTTGTTGAACCAGAGGGTGTTGTTCATCATGTGGGAGGAGAACTTCAACACAGGCAACTACCCACAGCCCTTGAACCTTCAGGTCAGCATGGACCATGAGGAGGTGGATGAGAACACAGATGACGAGACAGACAGCGACGACGATGAGTGAGTGAAGCCTCACAATTCAGCCCACATAGCCTTGTGATTGATTTCCTCTTTGGCTTCCGAAAGCAACGTTGTGAGTAGAAGCATCACCATCTAGAATAGAGATGTCTCACTTGGCTTTGGCACAGACCATCCATGACCGTGGAAAAGGCTATTTGATGCAGAGCATCAGCTGTGTCAATTGTGTGCACCAACTGTGTCAATTGCTTTTTGTTGTTGCATCTCAAGTTTAGGAAGCTGAGAACACTTCATCAGTCAAGCTGTGAAGACATCCCAATGGCGCTCGTTGTTGTCAAGAAGAACGGCTTCCTCACCCTCAAGGTTGTCGACAACGCCCTTGGCAACATTCCCGTGGTGGATTGCGACAGCGACCTTCATGCTGACCTGACCGTCCCGACACTTCTCAACTTGACCAGTTGCTCTCGTCATTGCTTGGAAAACGTCATGAGGACAGCAAACCTCCAGATGTTGGCAAGGGACAACAAGCAGACTTTGGCTCAATCAATCTTGGACAACTGGGACGACGTTGTGATTGCCTTTGCCCATCTCAACCATTGCCGTCCTGTCTTGATCCCCTTTGTGCTGTCTGATGCAGAGGAGGAAGCAGAGGAGGAAGCAGAGGAGGAAGCAGAGGAGGAAGCAGAGGAGGAACAGCAACCACTTGCTCGCCCAGTCCTCCAGGAAGAACCGCTTGAGGATTTCGCCTTTGACGAGAAGGCTGGTTCTTCTGGTGTTGCACTGGCTTCTGCGCCTATGTCCGCTCTCTTTCACTTGGACGGCACTAACCTGAACGGTAGTGAGGCAGTCGTTCGACCTTACCACCTGTCCTTGATGATTCCCTCCAAAGATGGCTTCATCACTATGGGCTACTTCTTCGACGTGCAGACCACTGGCACAGACATGCTCCATCTGCTTGACGCTCTCTCTGGTGGTGTTCTCAACCAGCAGAACACCCTCATCAAGATGGGTGAGAGCATTGTGCCGAATTACGAGAGCATCTTCTCCTACTGCAA